CCGTCAAGCAACTCAACGCATTCTGTTCGTTTCTTGCAGTCCCTTCCGCTTATATTAGCCAAAGTGTTGGGAGACGCGCATGTCAATTTCCTGAAGTTCGAACCACTTTTCGCATCCCGTTATCCACCCTTTCCTGTCCTCAACATGAACTCCCACCCCTGGTCGAAGACTGTTTAAATAGCCTCCGGAGCCCCTCATGATGCTAATGATGCACTCTTCGCCGTCAATTACATCACCTGCATCACAACGCCCCAAGAACCATACATTTTCACTGCTTTCCGGGCCGCCTCTTTTTTTCGCTCTCCCTCACCAGGCTCTGGGTTCGCCCTGCCAGATTGTGCCGCTACGCGACCCCCCCCCACACCCCCCAATACTCAGTTCGTTCGAATGCAAAAGCAAGAAAAACACTTTGAGCTTCATCTGAAAACTATTGAATACAAATCCAAGTAGAAAACTTCGAGCTTAATCACGCTTAATCTAGAACATCAAAGTAAAAAAGACAAAAGCAATTCAAGTTAGAAATGAACTGGCAAAACCATGTAGCAAACACATCTGGTTTCATCTTAAAAACCAAATGCAAAACTGAGTAGAAAATACATTGAGCTTCATCTAAAAGATCAAACGCAAGACCGAGAATAAAACACTTGGAGCTTCATCTACCAAGGCGCATGCAAAATGCAGTACGAAACACTTCCTGCTTCATCTGAAGAACCACATGCAAAACCGAGTAGAACATAATTCGAGCTTCATCTGAAACATCCAATGCCAAACCAAACAGAGAATCATCTGAGAAATAGACTACTGTAAAACCAAGAAGAAACAAGCTTCATCTGAACAATCAAGTGCAAGACAAGGTTATATAACCACAATTGAAAAATCAAATGCAAACGCAAGTAAGTAGAAAACACATCGAGCTTCAGTTGAACATTTGAGGGGCAAAGAAACACACTTTGAGCTAACTACCAAAACCACGTAGAGCACACTTTGAGCTACGTCTGAGAAATCAGAAGCAACATAAAGTAGAAAGCACTACGAGCTTTATCTCAAAAGTCAAAAGCAACACCACGTAGAAAGCACAAAAACAAATGCAACACCAAGTATCAAAAAAGGTTTCATCTGAACAATCAAAAGCACACCAAGTAGAACACACTTTGAGCTGCATCTCAAAAGCAAGTTGAGCAATCAAGTAGAATACGTTTTCATCATCCAGAAAGTTCTTTCAAAATCAAAAATAAACACTTTGGGCTTCATCTGAACAAACAAAGGCAACACCAAATATATAGAAAACACGTCGAGCTTCATCTGGAAAATCAAATGCAAAGCCAAATAGAAACACATCGAGCTTCACCTGAATGATCAATTGCAAAGCCAAAAAGGAAAATACAGTACTTCGAGCTGCAACTGCAAAATCAAATGCAACATCAAGTAGAAAACACTTCGAGTTTCATCTAAAATACCATTTGCGAAGCCAAGTAGAAAACACTTCGAGCTTCATCTGGGAAATCGAATGCAAAGCCAAGCAGAACAAACATTGGGCTTCATCTGAACAATCAAGTGCAAAATCTGAAACAGCCAATACAAACCGGGTAGAAAACACTTGGAGCTTCGCCTGAAAGTTCAATTGCAAAGCCAAATACATAAAGACTTGGAGCTTGATCTTAAAAAAGGCAACGCCACATAGAAACAGCTCGAGATTCAGCGGAGGAAATCAAAAGCGAATCCACATACAAAACACTGCAAGCTTCATCTCGAAAATCGAATCCACGACCAAGTAGAAAGCACATCGAGCTTCAATTGAAAAAAACAATAGCAAAACAAAGTAGACAATATTTTTCCTACTGCATCAGAAAAACAACACAATTTCAACCAAGTAGAAAACACTTCGAGCTTCATACTGCAAATACTGTAGACATATCTTTAAGCTTCATCTACAGATTTAACTGTAAGAGCAAGTAGAAAACACTTACAGCTTTGTCATGCTGTATCTGAACAATTAACAATTGCAAAACAAAGTAGAAAACACTTCAATCGAAAAGATGCAAATGCAAAACCAAGCAGAAAAGTACTCGAGCATCATCAAGACTGAATCAAGATCATGAGGGACTCAACATTGCCCAATGCATTGTCGTATTATCCTCTTTGCATACGCCAACTAAAGCAGGCTGTCATGGCAATCCCACAGTGACGGAGAAAAATGCCCATGGGTAAAGGAAGCATCCGAAGAGGTATAAAGAAGGCCAAAAGTATCTAACAAATTCCAATTAGAACTAATTTTCACAGAGGCTCTTGCCAAAGGTGCTGCTTCTTGCATGCAGTGATGGCCTTGTTGAAAGCAATGACTGAATCACTTGCTGGCAGCTCTGAAGCACATGGGGGCGTCCTGGGTTTCCATGTCATCATGGCACTGGAATTCTTTTGCCCACGGCATCGAACTCCCAGTGTCTCGCCATGGCGGCCCGTGGCGGGTCTGATGCATCGGACAGTGAAACACCTTCCTCAGGCCCGTTCGCGCACACGGCTCGAGGGGCTCAGACTTGAAAGGACTTTGTTTCGTCTCAGACTTCACATGATGATCATGGTCCTTTGTTTTGTACCAAATTCTGATTCACTCTTTGTGCGATCAGCTCACCTTATTTTTCCGTAAGATGACATAAGAATGCCTCACCGGAACGGACACAGATCCGTCCAAGCCCTCCCGTTCGGAGATGTGAACTTCCCACATCAACCCCTTCTTGAGAAAAAGTGCAGCAGCAGTATTTGCATTCCCAGAGGCAGTATCAGGGCCGCTCCCATCACATGCCAGAAGACCTTTGTTCATGGCTTTACCAAAAAGCTTTTCCCAAACTGTGATCGTGGCTACTGAGCTACTGTCCGTTTTAGTTCCTATTTGGACCCCCATCCGAACTGTTTCGGGTTTCCCTGCTCCCGGGCTTCGCCGGAGTACGACGACGGTCGCCCCGGTCGCCTGGGCGACGCCTTTCGTGTCGCGAAACGCCATGGCCAAGGACCAATCAGCACCAGCGCCAACCTCCACAGGGAGTTGCCATCATCACGTTCAAGAAATGCATTTAAGGGGATGTAGTTGAAGAATGTTGAAGATAGATAAAGCATGATAAGGAGCTGTGTTTTAAGTTGATTCAAATTGTTTATGAAAGCTTTAATTTGTCAACACATCCCCCAAAAGACATCTTTTTGGCATCTTCATCTGCGAGACGTCCAATCATTTTCGCAGTCGCTGTCGCCTGCAACAAGGAGCAACGGCCCGCATCGGCGCCAAGCTCTTGTGGGTCCTCGATGGTCCACACGCACAAGGGTCCTCCAGTGTGGTGAGCAAATGGACAATTTGGAGCTTGTCTGGTGCTGAGATATGTTGGATATTGTTGGATGAACTCTTGAACCAAATCCCCAATACCTCAGGTTCGGGGTCAACCCATGGTGATGCATTCCTGTCCCTTTTGCTCCTGTTGACAATCATTGTTTGGCAAACAAGCAAAGAAGTCGCATTCGATGTCAAATAAGCGGGAAGTATATGGAAGTATCACACCATGCACAACGGCTCAAGTCCAAAAGGTCTTAACTGCCTGTTGTAATGTGGCTGGTAATGGCTGGTCAATCTGTCTCGGACGCCGATCTCAATTCTCCGATCACGAGAACTCAGCCGTCCTGTTGAGAGCACGTGTATGGCTCCCTTTCCGACCACCGCATCGGCCACACCACCCGAGTGACGTCCCAAAGGGAGCTGGGCTCTCACCATGCCCTCATTGAAGGCTAGGCTACTTCCTCACAGCACAGGAACCACTTTGATCGAACTGGGTGGAGTCACTTTTTTGAAACATCAGCATGTGAATTAATGGAAGCACGAAGAGAAACTCCCCTGAAAGCCAACACATTCAAAGATCAGACCAGAAGGCCAACACATGTGCGCTGCTTAGCTTGTACTTAGTTACTTGATGTGCACTTGCAGATTTCATTGGGATGACCTTTCAGCCGCCACTAGGTCAAAGCACTTCCGGCAAACATCCCAAAGCCTTTGGGATCAACACTTCAGACTTCAGACTTCCATCCCAGACTCAGTGACAATGTAAACTTGGGGAACGCTCAATAAAAACTGCTCCGTGGACCAACTCCATCCACGGTCAGGCGTCGTTCGAAGCAAAGCTCTGCCAGGGGCACCACTTTGGGTGGATCCAGCATCGCCACCCGCTGCCTGAGGCTTCACAGGACGGAGAGAAGCTTCAAATCAACGGACGGATGCTTGGTGTTGCTTGAATGACACAAACTTTGCCCACCCAGCCAGACATACATCTTCTTGGGTGATGGGCCGTAGCCAGCCAGAATTCGTCAGAATTCTCTCCATCAAGGTCTGGGTCTCATCCCAGGGCCCCCAGCTGCACTTGATGATACTCAGGGCTCTCCCTGCCAAGGGCTGCCTGCCGTGGCCGAGCTCGGCTCATCCCGCAGTAAGGACCCGGTTCTAGTGACATCCATATGCAGGGTAGTGCAGGGTGAGCACGAAAAGGCCGCGCTGATGTCGCTTTGATCTGGATATGAATTTCGCTCCATTTCGCCTTCACAAAAGAGACAAACCACCCAGTCCCAATAGTCTTTCTTAAAAACCATCACGAAAATCCTTGATTGAACCCTCAACCTTCCTCTTTCTCTGCAAACTGAGTGCGACACCATGCCTCGGAGACCTCCAGCGCTTCCAGCAGCTGCCAACAGCCGGCGGACTCCTGGCAGGAGCATCTCTTTCAGGCTTTCAAGGCCCCCCCTGTACTAGTAGCAAGTGCATCTCTACTAGTAACAAGTTGCATCGCTACTAGTACCTTCTTGTTACCCAGTAGCGATGGACTTGTTACTAGTAGCTTCTTGTTACTAATAGTAATGCACTTGTTACTATGCCAACTTCAAAGATCTTCTCCAGGTGCCATAAGCCGATCTCCGCCAGCGTCCTTCCGCAGGCGTTGCGGCGGGGCCACGGCGCTGTTGCGCAAGGCTTGCAGCGCTCGCAGCCAAGGCTCTGATGGTGTAGGCGCTACACCTGAGTGCTGCTGGGGCACGCCTGGAGCTCACTGACTTTCCGGAAGATCAGTTGATGGATGTCCAAGAACCTGGAGGGACTCACACCAATCTGCACCGGCCATTGTCCGTTTTTGAAAATGCGGCCATGGACCTCGCCCCAGAGCTGGGTTCACCATGGACCGACATTCCAAGAAGGATCAACAGCTACATCATGCTACAGCCCTAGGCGTCTCCAGGTGCTTTCAGTGCTGAAGCTTCGAGGCCCATGAAGTTACAGCAAGAGCTGTTCAGCCAGCTGAACAGGCTATTGCTAGGAGGATGCCGCGATGCACACTCCCACCCGAGAAAGACACTCTGAACCATGCCGGCAAGCAGCTGGTGTTTCCACTGGCAGGACCTGAAGCAAATGCTCGGGATTTTGGCTGGGGCATGTGGAAAATGGCTCGCAGTTTTCCACAGGGCCGTTGAGAGTCTCCCTAGACCAGTTGATGGACGAGTTCTCCTTGTCCCACCACCCAGTGGGACAGAAAAGTAACCATCCCACATCCCATAGCTCAACCAACTCCCCCATGTCTTCAACAAGTCGGAGTCCCAAAGTGAGAGTATACAGTATACCACACGTCGAAGTTGTAAGACATTAACCACACAAAAAAAGACGCTTCGAAACAAAGACTTTTCAATAATTTTACTTTAAGTTATAATTAAGGAATGATACGACAAGAAGGCGTCAATATAGGCGTTCCTGCCTCTAATCAACATGAACAGGAGCTGCAGAAGTGATACTCTACCGGTTTTACGTGAGACTTCAGATCTGCAGGATGGTGCGACGACGGAGTTTTGTCCGCATCTCAGGGTCCAGAATCATGAGATCAGTCAAAGGCAAACCCCTTCAGATCTGCCAGTTCCTGGAAGATTCATCAGATCAGCAGTTTCTCCGAAACAAGACGGAGCGTCATTGAGAACGAACCGAAGGCTCCCTTCTGCGCCGCTCGCGCTACGTCATTCGCAGCGCCCATGCGCCGCTGGCGCCTAAGACCGCCAGGCTGGAAACGCCGCGGCGCTCCAGCAATGGCCGCAAAGCCTCACAGGTGGAACGCCACTGGTTTTCGGTCAAAAAACATAAAAACTAAAGGACATATGGCCAAATGTGGCCAGATGATAGAACGCACCACATGGTGAGATCACATTTTTGTGATACTCTGGTCAGTCCTTGCCACGTGAGATGAAACTCGGCCATGTATGATTACCAGGCCCCAAAACTCGCACACCATCATGTGGCACGTGGTTTTCGTGTTCTTCACATCTCAGGATGCCAGCAGACCGATTTTGCCCGGTCCAAACTGGTTTGGACCGAGGGAACTGGACCGAGTGAACTGGACGAATTTCTTCGTCTCGACCCCATCCGCCCTCCACCCCTGTTCGCGCAGACCGCGCAGACCGTCTGCCTCTCGCAGGGAAGGGTCGAAACGGTCAAAGGCCAAGACCGAGCTCAAAGCCTCGGTCGTCGTAAGGGCAGTTTCGGTCTGTCGTAACAAAGCCTGGGTTCTGTCGTGGATTACAAGAAAAAACGATAGGATGCCGATTGAATATTGGATAGCATATCTGCTTAGCTTGGGCTGCGGTTTTCCACAAATGAACATCTTCACCAATATATTCTGACATCTTCAAGGGGTATCCGACTAGGCACAAACGGGCACTGCTGGGTTCGCAATGCGAACTGGAGATGAGGCGTCGCACCGCTACCATCGGCACCATCGGACTCACTGAATCAATGGAAAGATCATCGAACTGGGCTTTGGTAGGGACAGGACTGTGACACCACCGAGTGGTAGGACTTCAAAGGTGGTTCCATAGATTTCCGCTTTACCACTTGGCCCAAGCAAGCTGCTTCATCCTAGCTAGCCCTGGCAAAATGAACAGCCTGTAGCTCCATTAGCTCCCTTTGTTGCTCCCTTCATACTTCTTTCATTGATCATATCACATCATATCACCATATCTCACCCTATCCCATGTGCATATCACCATATCTCACCCTATCCCATGTGCGCCTGTCAATAAGATCCGAAAGCCAAAACCCAGATCCTAACTTTTGGCCCCGCCAGGCGCCGGCATCGCCCGGGCTCAACCGGCCTCTTCCAACGGCTCGTTGGGAAAGCGTTCAAGGTGCCGGATCACTGCCAGAAGCTCCCGAGCGCTGTACGGATACCTCATCAAGCTGAGAAGAAACAGTCAGATTTTGGGGAGACCCTTCCCACAAAGTTCATGCTGTCTATTGTGGTCGTGAGCTTCCGTGCTTTGTGTTGATGGACGGGGTGCATGATCCATATTCAACTTGATTCACAATAACTGGCACGTAGATCACTGTACTAGGAGCTTTGAAAAGCATGCGCTTCTCTTCCAAACCGGTTGGCAACTAGGTGAGGCAACTTGAGAGACTAGCCATGGTGAGCCGGAAATTCATATATTTCATAATCGTGGACAACTCTTTTTGGCATTTAATTGAACTCTTATGGTGATTTTATCTTTCTAGTCTTTTACTATTTATCTCTCTTTCCACCGCAATGTCTGTTCAAAATAATTATGGGTCCCTTAGATGGGGATTATTATTGTTATATAATATACCATTATTGTGGGCCGCTACAGTTCAAATAGGTATGGGTCATGGGGTTTGTCCCAGAGCCAGTTATCCACCAAGCTGGCCGTTCGACAGTTGGCACTAGTTGGCACCCTGAGTTTTCGGTGGTCACGGTGGGGTTGTTACTGCTTGTGAGAACTGCTTGTGTACGTCTTTCATGAGAGGAAATGCCGCTCACCAGTTTTGTGGGTCCTCCGGTCCTGTCCTTCGAAACACACCATCACGCCGTGTAGCTCCGCTAGTAGCTCCGCTAGTCTCCGGTTCCAAGGAGCTGTAGCCGTCCATCTTCTAAGGCCAAGCGTAAATCGGCAAAGAGCGCCACCAGCGTGCGGAGCAGGCCGTCCGGCACACTAGGTCCTACACCAGAGGTCACCAGAGGGTCATTGATGAATCTCAAGGGTCGCGGTTGCGGGTGTTTTGTGGCGGTTCCGGAACTGCAGCACCGAAGCAGTTCGGGTGATTGAAACAAGACGACACAGCTGGAGGCTGGAGGCTCTTTGCGGTTCTGAACTGCTTGTTCTGCTTGCAAATGGCGCACGTGTTGTGTGGGCATGGAATCCCAAGCAAGCAGGTTTGGAATCCCACAAATGGACAATCTCACAGAGGCTTAAGCTTAGGTGTAGATCTTGTCCACAAATGGTCATGATCTTCCTGCAAACAAATCCTGTCACATCCAAACATCCCTGCCGGGGGGCCAAAATCACAAAGAACCTCCGGCATACACGTGGATTCTGCCGTTGACGGCTTTCGTGTGCCGCCAGTTTTCAGGTCAACCCCGTTGTGCCGTTGCCGTTGTCACCAAGTAGCCGATGGCTCGCGCCAACTGCAGCTCTGAGGCAGCGTCCTGTGGCGCTTTTCGTCACAGATTCTTGAGACACGAAAAGCACCACCCACCACTACCTACCGCCTGAGGTGCTTTTAGGACACCCTGAACTTTTTCGATGCACCCAACCACAACATGGGCGCTTTCTGACATTGATGATTTCTTAGACCTCTCTAGTGTAGATGAATACCAAATGGTCGATGCCTTGCCTTAAACATCCTTGAACCCACGCACACACACGCACGAAGAAAGAACTGGTGTCAAGCTGCTGGGTTGTCCAGGCAGAACACGGCGAAGACATCTGCTTCTCGCAGCAAGTCGTTGCCTTCGACATGAATCACAAATGAACCACAGAGAAGTTTGGATGGCGTCTTGATGAGGAAGGCTGAACTTTGGCAGCGTAGAACACTCAACCCCTTGAACTTTAAGACCTTTGAAACTTATACCTTAAGACCTATAGAGCTTTGCCCCCCCCTACAGCAGGAACAACAGCGCCTGCACGTCAAAGGGCCAAGGCCAAAGCAGAACATCAATAATTAAGTTTAATTAGAATTCAATTTAGTTCTACTTGTTTCTTGTTACTACTAGTAAGGCACTTGTTACTAGTAGCAATGCACTTGTTCCTAGTAGCTTCTTGTTACTGTCATAATGGCTGCAGGGTGAATGTCTGGAAACATCATGACTCATCAATGGACGATTTGGCGGTGGACCTAGGAACCCTCTCTTGGGAGCCCGGCCCAGAAATGGAAAGCCGGGTCTGTTGGCAAGGACAAACCTCAGAGCAGCACCCTCGCAAGGGCCAGTTTGCTTGACTTTGTCATGCCCCAACAAGGCAGGAGAAGCCACCGCATCAAGATGCACACCCAATAATTGGATGCCATCCCGCGAAAGGGAACGGTGTCAACGGCAGAAGACTGTAACAAAACGTTGAGGTCGCCAACGTCGCAAACTCTCATCATTGAGCCGGGCCGATTCTGAATTATATATTTCCCATAATAGAGGCATACAGTAGCCTGGCATAACCATGAAACATCATGAAATCCCCAGAAGATGTGGCTTATTGTGCCTTTGCTTTTCACAATGTAGAGTCCTGAGTCCCAAATGAATCGATTGAAGGGCAACGAGGAAGAAGGGTTCTGAACGACGTTCCAGATGCTTCCCACCTGCTTCACCAGGTGGCATCCGAAACTCAGGATGCACCTGGATGGTGCGCTCGCCCGCCTCCGAGGTGCTGGCCAGCCTGGCACAAAGCAGAAACCCGCTTTTTCGCGGAAGATCATGGGTAGCTCATGTTCGATTCAGGCGACGTGATTCCCTTCTTTCCATGCCATCAATACTTTCTGGCGACCTGGTCTTCAAACAGATCGCAACATATCGTGACCAAAATTGCTGGGAACTCCGGAAGTGGGGGTGAAATCCGTGAAGCACATTTGCTGCTATGGCGTCAGAGTCCAACATCCCCAACAGCCAACTGCAAAAAACAGAAGGCTCTTCACCCAAAGCAGCAATCTTTGGTCAAAACATGTCAAAACTTTCACCATCAGTTTAGCACCAGCTGGTTCCCAGCTCGACTGTCCAGCTGTGTCTTCTTGCAGGACATCATTATAAATCTCTATCGAGGTCTGCTTCCACAGAACGTTCGGAATTAGTACAGTATCCACAAAGTTCTAGTGTGGCACACTGGGTCTTTGTTCCAAGATGTTCCAAGGCAGTGGCTTTGGAAATATGGAACCACACCTTCACAAGGAAACTGTTTCGTCCCTCTTTGGCTTCAGAGAGGCTTCCACCAGTGTCGTCGAATTGTACACCCGTCGGTACCAACCGCTGCCTGCGTCCGTCGGGCAGCGCCAACTGTCCGTCTTCGATCAAGGACTTCAGCACCACCACCACCTCGTCGGAGAAAACGGGAACTCGTCGACCCGTGTAGCGAGTCATTTCTCAGAACCGCATTTCTCCAAATCCTCCCGTGTCTGGTGTTCGTTTGATCTTCCAAAACCCAACTGGTTATATACATATATATATATATATCACCCAACACACACACACATATATATATATATATGTAACAACTGGTTGGTGTTGTCATATGTGGTTATACAGTATATTTCTTTTCTCAAACAATAACCATATAAACTCATTGAATCCCCGGCTCCGGCTCGATCTCGCCTCCAAGGGTGCCTTGTCTGCCTCATCCAAGACCAAGGCGCGGCCCAGCTGCGCGGCCCGGACCAAGGGCGAGTCCTGGGTGAAACATCGAATGATATGGGTGCAGTGGGACCAAGCAGCTAAGCCTTTTGGTGGTTCCCATGGAGATTTCCCCTCTTTTTGGTGGAACCAAGCTAAGCCTTCTGCAAAACCACCAAGGAAAACGAATGATATGGGTGCAGGTTGCACCTTGGGGACGAGTCGCCCCGAGTCCCATGAGTTTCCACCGTCCCGAGTCCCTGCAGGGGGATCACCAGGTTGCAGGTGTCCGTTGGATCCGACGCAGTCATCCCTCGCCTCGTGGTAGAGCAAGCCGTCTGAGACCACCGGTGTGACCTGGCCACGAGGCCAAAGGTGGAGCATCATTGCTTGGCAAAGGGGAGATCGGGTAGGCTTTTCGATGCTCAAAGAAAACATGGTGAAACAAAGTCAAGGTGTTGGCATCTCTGCCGACCAAACCGAGAATGATCCGGCGTAGAAAGAGTCATGCACGCAAGAATCAATGTGAGCACACTCAAGAATGGGTCACAAGTGCGCACTGCTTCACTCAATGACTGACTTCACAGCTTTGTGCTCTCTACGGTTTATCACTCTCGGCACACGTCCCAAGTACCACAATATAAACATATAATGAATGTTGTCAACCTGTTTTTTTCGAACACTTTGTAAAGCTCTATCAAGTTGCATCCAAGCAGTATTAGGATCTGTGCCAAACATGCAGGTTCTTTCTTCTTCCTCACCATCCTCTATGACCCTCACTTCTAAGTTGGTTTCTGAACTCTTTCTTCGCATGTTTCCTGAGACCTTTTTCGGACCTTCCATTGATATCCATTGATGACGCAGTCACGCAGTCTTTGTTGTTTTTACTTCGATTGGATCTGTGGACGACGACACGACTCGTCGATCCTAGATCGACGAGCCCGCCCGGAAGCGACCAGGTGTCCGGACCGTGAGCTGTGAGACTGTGGTGTCTCGGTGCAATTGCATATATTCCTTGGTGTGGGTCCCAGAAAGCGGGCGCAAGCTCCGCGGGTCCCAGAAATTCCGGTCCCAGAAATGGGAGGAAACAAGTCTTTTTCAGGCTCCACTCAGTTGGAAATAACAACTGCTGTGTGACAAATTGCAAGATCCTGTGGGCAAACTGGCCACTCTGGTCACTCTGGTCCAAAGAACTACAGAACTGATGCTGAGCAAATTCAAGGATTCTCGCTCTATGCGCACAGACTGCAAGAAGTAGTCCACCACTCGGTTTTTCCTCACGGCAAGCAACTTGATCAGTTCTGGCCAAAACGATGAGCAACAAATCTGGCACTATCTCAATATTGCATGCCCTTCGTCTTCATAACATGATGGTCATTTGGTGCCACTCACTTGATATCTCGTGGACATCCGGCAGCCCCGACAGGGTGGCCATGGGATGTCAATGAGCATATAGCGCTTCCAAGAAGCCCAACACCCTGTGGACCCAGGAGCAGCAAGAACCGCTCCTTGGCGAGTGCTCCGCACTGCAGAGCAAAGGGAAAGCGAAAGAGCAAGGGGAGGATCAGGTGAAGAGAATTCCAGCTGGAGAGTCTGGTTGGACGATTTTCTTTTACCAATCGTCAAGGCATGTAAAGGTAGAACTAGTGGAACTGTTTTCCTTTTTCTGCCATGCAGCTGCATTATATAACTCATGAAGCAATAGAAATGGAGGACGACCAATCCGAAACACTCTGCAGTAAACAGTGCGATGATGCATTGCCATGATCTCCTTACCAGTAGGACACCCATTTTCAAACATCCATTTCAAAACCCATCGATATCCATCAATGACAATAGCAAACCCATGAACCAAAAATCAATTCACACGAAAAAGAAGCACATCAAATCAATCAAATCAAAGCAATTTTGGTGGATCGATATCAATATCACTCATATCAGTACCCCCAAAAACCATTTTCAGTGGACCGACGCCACCGTGCGCCCAGCGTCACGTCTCTGGAAGACCACCTGACAGACGCGAGGACGGTCGGACCGAAGCCTTGGACGCAACTCGAAAAACATGGAAAGGACGTGTATAGATAGTATTGTATATCCGCCGACCCCGGCCGACGCAAGGGGGAGCGCGCCAGGGAATAATGATAGATCCGCCAGAACTCAATCGTTTGGAGCAGAACTCAATGGGTTAAAGCCGTGGCGAAGGGGTGGTTTCAGATGCTTTTTGGGAGGCTGGTTAGTGGTGGAAAATGCTAGCAAATTGTCTTTTTTCTATAGGGATCCAGAGCGTCCGTTTGACACCGAACGTCCGAGGAATTGGGGCTCGTTTGGAGCAGAACTCAATGGGTTAAAGTTGTGGCGAAGGGGTGGTTTCAGATGCTTTTTGGGAGGCTGGTTAGTG